TAATCCGAATACTTCCCTGTATATTTTTTAAACAATGGACAAGCAAAATTCAATAACTAATTAGTCTAAAAACAGCTATACACATAGTAGAGAACAACTCTTTCAAAAGAACGACCATCAGATAGTAATGTAATATATTATTGAATTAGCATATATAAAATTTATCTATTTGGTGCTTTTTTCTTAATTTACTCATATTAGATCATGTTTCAAAGTAATTAAATATTAATTTAATCATTAGAAAAAAGTTCAGCTTTAACTATTTATAAATAAAAATGGAGTGAAAAGTAATATCAATTGGTTGAGTTTGTTCATTTTCTTTTCAATTTTCAATCCTAGAAAATATAATCAAACATTAAAAGACAAATCAGTAATGTACTCATCCCAACCCGTTTGGAAATAATATTAAATCTAATATCAAATGTGGATAAAGTTTGTCATAGGTACCGGCCACCCTTTATATCTAAGAGCACTTAAATAAAACGTTAATCTCCTATTAGTTAATTAATTAATGCTTTCCTTCCTTCATTTTTTCTTACTTAGTCCTACACGGACGATAAGTCCTAATTAAAATAACGTATTGCAAATACCGTTTGAAGTTTTCCTTCTAATTAATGGACGCGGATTTGAGCGAGGAAAAGGATGTGATGGAGACTCTTTCAATGGGACGGCCTTACTTGTTAATTAATTCACTAATTTATTTGTTAATCATCTCTTTCACCTCACTCACAGCTATATATAAATAGGAATTGAAGGAACCATATTTCATCAACACAACTAAAAGTTGAAGAAATTAAAATAGATATACTCGATCTGTACACATAGAAATTAGAATTGCTTCATAGTGTTGAGAAACTCTTACATAGGATTTTGGAAATGGCTTCTTCCATTATTTTCTTTGGATTCCTAGCTTTGTCCTTCATCCATGCCCTAGCATCGGATCCAAGCTCACTTCAAGATTTCTGCGTGGCAGATGAAACCCGTAATGGTACGTACAAGTTGTTAAAAATATATAAAACTCTCTTGCGCTTCAAGCATTTGAAGGGCATGGTAATCATGCTAATGGCCTGTCTTTGATATTCATATCACAGTTTCATTAAACTTCTGGTTCTTTGATATTGAGATTCATATGTTTTACGGCAGTGATAGTGAATGGTTTGGCTTGCAAGGATCCCAAAATGGTTCAAGCTGATGACTTCTCCTTCAGTGGACTTCACTTGGCAGGCAACACTTCAAACGCTGTAGGGTCTAGGGTAACCACAGTAAGCGTAGCCCAGATACCAGGGCTTAACACACTTGGAATCTCTCTTGTTCGCATCGACTACGCACCATGGGGCATTAACCCTCCACATACACACCCTCGTGGAACTGAAATCTTGACTGTCATTGAAGGCAGTCTTGAGGTTGGGTTCGTGACATCCAACCCTGAAAACCGTCTCATCACAAAAGTTCTACAAAAGGGTGACGTGTTTGTATTTCCTATTGGTCTCGTTCACTTTCAGAGAAATGTTGGAAATGGCAATGCCGTAGCCATTGCAGCTCTGAGCAGCCAAAATCCAGGTGTCATTACCATTGCAAATGCTGTGTTTGGCTCCACCCCAGAGATCCCAAGTGACATTCTAGTGAAGGCTTTCCAGTTGGATAAGAATGTTGTCAATTACCTTCAATCCAAGTTCTAAACAATGTTGACTAAAATTCGTTGAGGCTTTGGGATATAAGATGTGCTCTTCTTGTGAGGGCTTTCACTGTTTGTTAATTTGCTTGTAACACTCCATTGTTTAGCTTGAATCTCTGTGTGCCTCTTTTGGGATACAAGTGATTCTGTTAATTTGTTTGTTAATTCATTGCTTCTCTAGTTTTCCTTTTCCATGGCTATGTAATTTCTTTATGTAGCTATTGAAATTTATGATTCAATTCTGTATAATTTTATCTCTCAATAAAATATATGGATGTTGTGGTTCAGAAATTCTCTCTTTATTGATTGCCATATTATTACCTTTGTTGCTCACTCCAAGAAAACAGGTATGACAAGGCCACGCCTTGATTTCTTTATTGAGATTTCACTAATTACTTCGAGCAAAGGAACTAATGTGTTCCTTTTATATTCATGGAATTCTAGCTTATTGGCAGTGGTCTACTAGTTTATACCAGGAGATTTCAAACTCATTTCTTAACAAATGCAAAGTGATTGAACTTGTTAAAGTTAGTCTCTTGTATTTGGTATGGTGGTTAGATATATTATTCTTTTTTTTTTTTAATGACAAGTATTAAACCTGGTTTCTGTTTCTTTTTAGCACTAATAACTAATCGTTAATGAATATTAGCTTTTAAAAAACCATTTGCAAATCAGAATATTATGTGGAAAATACCATAGCTTTTAAGGCTCACAAAATCATTCACTTCTTATTCTGTTGGGATTATACAAAATTCAAGACATTAGGTTTATGTACTAGCTCGTGAAACTGATTTGGTTAGTTTTTCTGCTCAATAATTGTGTTCCGGTTTATCTATACATGTTTTAAGTCTAAAACACTTTTAATTACGAGGGTATATTAGATAATTATATAATTTATATATTAAAATCTTATCTAATTACTTAAACTATTAACTAATTACTTAAACTATTAGGTTGAATTAGTTTTTTTAACAGATTAATTTATATTATTTTAACATTCTAATTTAAGTGAAAAAATTTTAATCTTTTAACTTATACAAACTCATTTTATTTGAAATGGTGTTTTTTAAAATTTTACTGATAAAATATCATAATGCTAAATTACATCATTTTAATTTTATTTAAAAAACAATTAAATACAGTATAATGATCAATACCTTCCCTTCGTTCTTGACACTTAGCATCATATGAAATGACATGTGAGGCTACAATTAATTAATAAGAATTACATACCGTCTTTCCATTAAACTATTTAGCTTAGCCAGTCCATGACCAAATCTTAGCTTAACTATTTTGTGCTCTTGATGAATTAAGGCCGGCATGTACTGAAAGATCCCTAGATTATTAATTGTGGCCTGTTTGTATGAACGAGATAGACGAAAGAGAAGACTAGTAAGCAATAAGACTCTTCCAACAGGACGGCATGGAGTTATGGTTTACAGCTTGATTTAGCTGATTAATTAGTTAATGATCTCCTCTAGCTCTCAAATGTATATATATAGGAAGTATTGAAGGTATTTGATTCACAACTAAAAGCTCGATTAGTATTATTTTCTTGGTACACAGAGCTTCCATACCTTTGATTTCCCAATGGCTCCTTCCATTATTTTCTTTGGATTTCTAGTTTTGTCCTTCTCCTTTGCCTTGGCATCAGATCCGAGCCCACTTCAAGACTTCTGTGTGGCAGGTGGAGATGGCAATGGTATGCATCATGTAAATTATTTAAGCTCAATTTTTTGTTGATTTTTTCATAAAAGAAAATAACACAATTTAATTATTTTATGGCAGTTCTTGTCAATGGCTTGGCTTGCAAGGACCCCAAGAGTGTTCAAGCTAGTGACTTCTCTTTCAGTGGACTTCACATGCTAGGCAACACATCAAATGCAGTGGGGTCGAGGGTAACTGCAGTGAATGTAGCCCAAATACCAGGACTTAACACACTTGGTATCTCTTTTGCACGCCTTGACTATGCACCATCTGGTATTAACCCTCCACACACGCACCCTCGTGCCTCTGAAATATTGACAGTTCTTGAAGGTAGTCTTGAAGTTGGATTTGTTACATCTAACCCTGAAAACCGTCTCATTACCAAGGTCTTACAAAAGGGTGATGTGTTTGTGTTCCCTGTCAATCTTGTTCACTTTCAAAAAAATGTGGGAACGAGAAATGCTGTTGCCTTAGCTGCCTTGAGCAGCCAAAACCCCGGTGTTATCACCATTGCGAATGCTGTGTTTGGGTCCAATCCAGACATTCCTAGTGACATTCTTGCCAAGGCTTTCCAGTTGCACAAGAATGTTGTCAATTCCCTGCAATCGAAGTTCTAGACAAGAAATGGGAAATGGTGGGAGAAGAAAGACAAGTTGGTTAGGCCATCAAGTTCTTTGTATTTCATTGGTTTTGTACTTACCTTTGTGTGCATGCAGTGGAGTGCTTGTGCTTCATTGCATGATAGCTTAAGTGGATTTGTATTCCATGTATTAAAAGGTGTTTTGTTCTTGAATTCATGTATTAAATCATTCTTTTTCTGTCTTAAATCCCTGTTTCTTCTCACTGATCTCCTTTTTTTTATTAGCCACTTGATGCGACGTCATTTTACAAGTCTCTTTCATGGATGGTCAATTATCAAGTTTTTTGAGTCCTTCCTACACATGGCTAATAAACGGCTAATCAGCCACCTCTGTTTTGTTAAGATCTACTGGGATGATCTTGAGTAGATTTGTTGTGATTATTTGTTTGAGAAATAGATACATGGCCCGGGCAGAAACTAATCAGATTTTATGCATTGTAATTGCTTTTGAAGTGTTGACATTAAGATATTTTGCAGATATATAAAAGAAATTTGTAAATTTTCTGTGACGTGAATTCATACTTTGAGACATTCACCAACAGGCTAACAAATGGAAAAATGATCATGGATCTTCTGCACAAACATTATGCGCAACTCTGCAAAATCAACAGCAACAAACAAAAAGAATTAACTAGTGCATCTTGTGTTTATATAGACACCCTCCCTCACATCCAGTTTACCTTATCTTCACCCTTCAACAAAGGTGGAGCAAAAAGAACACTACTGATTGTTGTCGTCAAACTTGGCCAAAGGTCTAACCGAAAAAGAGCTCGTGTTGCTAGGTCTTTTGGGTCAATCTATTAGTAGTTAAAGCAGAGATTAGTAATAATTTAATAAGTATTTTAGTAAAAATAGTTCCTCTACTATTTATATAAGTAGAGCATTATACATATATTATGGTGTAACCTATTACATATAATAAAACTATACAAAAAAAATATAATATTTCTTATTTTACAACACATCTCATAATATTAGTTATTGAGTCTACCTACATCAATAATTCTTTTATAAAAATAATATTGTTTCATTATTTTTTTTAAAACAAATTCTTTGTGTCAACCCAACTAGAATTAATGGGTTTAATTTGCCAAGTCAATTGAGGTTAACAAGATCAATTTTTTTGTTTCAAATTAAAACTAAACTTAGATTAAACTTTAAATCATATGTTTTCTACGTCAATTTGCTTGGCCAAGTTTTAATAACCATGCTACTTTTAAGTATCGTTATTCTTGAAAAATTAATGGTTAGTCAGCATATATGGGTTAATCTAAATACTCCTGTGTATATTTTTTAAACATTAAACAAGAAAAATTGACTAACTACTAAGTCTTAACACAACTATACTGTAACATCTTAATTTTCAGGACCTCACATCAATTATAAAATGAGAAAACATGATAACTTTTTTTTTTAATAGGATTTATATAAGATTCATTGGAATTTCTATTAAAATTTTGATAGAAACTCTCTTATATCGGGAAGTCCCTAATTATTGATAAACAACATGTACATTTTTATTAACCTTTATTTAATCACAACTCAATTACCTTGAATCTCAATCTTCATTAATATTTACTGGTACATTAATAATTTTCTAAATATTCATATTTTAAAGATGTAAATAAATTAGTATTTAAATAAGAGAAATAAACATACATAAAAGTTATGAATACATGACAATATAATTTTATGTTCAGAAATTCAATTTAAAAGATTTTATTACAATTCAAGTCATAATAGTTTTTCTTAAATATAAAATACATTAACACTTGTTTAGTTCTAAATAACACAAAAATAGAGAATCTAAAATATTACTCCTATCGTGAATATTATGGACCTGTAATAACATAACATTCAAAATTAGTTATAATAAATACAATATTAATGTAAAAACAATCAAACCATACATATATTCAAGGCCATAAACTATCATAATTCTTTATAATTTATCATCTAATCTCCTTTTAATGCTTTAAGATCTATCCCTTGAGCAACCAATATCATATATTAATGTTTAAGGAACAATTCCTTCAAGAATATCAATACCCATTTCACATCAACCAATATTCATTGAGATTACTAAGGAAACCACTTCTTTCCAAAACCTTAGGATGGTAATGCCGACATTAATGATTCTTATTAGTATCATTAGTGGTCTTAACAAAACCAACTAATCAAGTTTCTTGTAAATGTCGACATCAATATAGCATATTAATATTATTAACTATTTCTAACCCGAAAAAGTTAATCAATTTTTCCTAATACTTTGGAATATCTCAAGAAATGCCGATGTTAATGATTCTTGATATCATTAGCTTTCACATGAGGAATAGCTAATCAAGTTTCATAGGATTACTAATATCGACGCCGCTCATTGATATCATTAACTATTCTTAAACTAAATAATTAATGAAGTTTAGTATCCCTCATTCTTTGGGATGGTCATGCCGATGTTAGTAAACCTTACTAATATCATTAGCCTCTCACACTTAGGATCAACTAATCAACAAGAAAAGGTTATCAATGAAGTTCGTTAATATAGTTCATTATTCCTAACCAAATCAATTAGTCAAGTCTGTTTTTATTTCTCATTTATTTTATTTTATTGATCCTTTTTCTTTTTGACAACATTAACATGTATACAATCTAAGAATTAAACAGATTTCCAAGGTTACAGGTATTTAAAAAGGGTATAGGTATAGGACACTTACCTACTGTAAGAACTCGGTTCACGCTCCCATGTTGTTGTGCCCCTCTTGCAATCCCCCCTAAATCAACAAGCATATCACATTATTTCTTACTAAAGTTACATAATAATAATAATAATAATAACAATGACGATGACGACAATGACAATGCTGACTCTCCTTTTACAATTATTTCCTTTACATTTGTATTTCCATTACATCCTTTAAGATTATGGTTCATTATCAAATTATAACTAACATCCTAAATTTAGTTTCGAATATAACTTATTTTTTTTGAATGCCAAGACACGACACTACATATTTTTTAAGGGAAGGAAACCTGATTATACCCCTAACATGACTAAATTTTTTATTTTGACAAATTGTTGAAACTCCCAGCAAAGCTTGCAAATCAACCTCTCCTTCAATATTTATCTATATCTAGAGTTATAGAGCTCTAAATTAAACGAGGATAGACTCGTTGAAAAGATAATTTCCTTGGCTATAAATTTTATGAGAAACTTTTTCTAAATTTTATTAGTTTTAGGCTCGAATCCTCTCTGGAATCATTGTGATGAATCTGTTTAGTTTTCATCAATGATTTAAATGAACCTTCACTTACCCCAATTCTCATATTCTCTTAAGACAACTATTTTTATATTATATTCATGGTAACCTTCTTAAATATGACCTTCTAAAGGCTGTTTAAGCTTCTTCTTCTTCTTTTTTTATGTAAGGTGGTCAAGAACTATTTCAAGAAACATACACATCATTGAATTCCATATTTCTCTTACATTTCGCAACTCCTCCAATACAAATGGCCAATAAACTCATTTCTACCTCATATAACATATGCATTCAATCTATAAAGTTCCCTATTATCAAGTCATCATACTTCCTTTATTAGTATACTTCCTATCACACCTAATTCACTCATCATTAACATATGAAATCTCAAAACTCCTCCTCCCCCTTCTCAATTTAGTCTGGGCCAAAACTTGGCCTAAGGGAACCAAGATTCCTAAGGGAACCAAGATTCCTTGCTCCTTCTCATACAAGTATTTATCTTATTTTTCATTGTTCTTATTGTAACAACATATCACAAAAACTTTATCAAGAAATCAAAAAAAAGTTTCTTCCCATTCAACCCCCAAATGGTCAGCCACTCTTGTTCCTTTAACCATTGTTTTTTCTGTAGTAATTTTGCATGATCTCATGTTTAAGATAACTTATAATACTTCAATTAACTCAATTTCTACAATTCCCTTAAATTTCAGTCAAGAACCATAATTTTCAATCTCAAGATTTGTTGCTACCCAATTTTTTACACATGTTTTGATATATTTTTTTTATAAAAAATAAAAAAATAATAACAAAAAATAATAATGAGGGTTACATGTGGTGATAACAGAGAGCATCAAGGCTAAGGAAATAATATATCAAGGAGATAATTATTTAATCATGTATAATTATTGCAATATAAAATACCATTGATATATGATTTGATTTGTGCTAGTTATGGAAAATAATCAATGCGATATAAAACACCATATATATATAAGATTTGTTGGTGTTGGTTATAGAAGACAATCTCTGCACTAATTATTGTAATATTTTCTTAAAAAACATGTTTAAAAATTTTCTATATAAGTGAATCTCTAACAAAAAGAAAAGGAGGAGGAGGGGAGAATTTTTTTTTAAGAGAGAAATTTAGGGTAAACAAAAAAAAACCCTAAACCTAGTTTTTTCTCCTGGCCGAAACTAAGTCGTCAGCCCCATCTTTCTAATTTTTTTTCCTCTCTAAGCCAGCCACCAGCGAGAGCCCCTTCATTTTCTCCATCTCAGCCACTGCACCCCCACAGAGACACGACCACAGCACCAATAGCTCTTTCTCCCTGAGTCCAGCCTTTTCCTTTCGTTTTTTTTCTTTCCCTCTGCCAAAAAAAGAACACACCAGCCCCTTTGCCTTTCCATCTCTTCTTCATCCTCTCATCTTCAAGTCTAAGCCAGCCACCAGCGACTCCCCCGGCTTTGAAGATGTTGGTCACAGAACCCCCAAGCCTCCAACAGCCTTTCTCTCTCATCAACATCCCACCATTTTCCCCTTCAGCCAACCAACCTTCCCTCTCTGTCAACACAACCCCCCAGAAACAGTTCTCCCGCAATCTTCCTCCTCACTGGCTATTTCCTCTGCAACAACAACACCAAAAATTAACATGACAGCACTGCAAGCTTTAGCAGCTTCAGCCTCTGCACTGTAACCTTCAGCAACAACGCTGTGACCAGTCTCGCCTCTGCACCAGCATTTGGTCCTAGTCGCCTGCCTTGCCATATCTCTTCCCCATCACCCCAGCAGTAGCCATGTTTTCTTCTCTGCACCGGGAGCAAAAAGCAGGAGGGCCATAGGTTACTCCTCTAGCAGCATCCTTCTTTTCCCTGCAGAAGTTGCACT